TTTTTATTTGAGTTTGCTTTGGATTTTTTAAATTTTTATGCTCAACATGATTTTTTCGATTTTGTGTTTCTTCTTTTTTTTGTATCAAAAAACAGTTGTTAAACTTTACGTTTACCTTTCCGCCTGGCAGGTGTGGAAAACTTTCGCACATATGCATACCGGAACGTATGCGCCTGTTTGTTCGAGCAGCAAAAGGTGAGTGAGCATGAAAATGCAGTGTGCACACAGTCGCTTGTGTGTGTGTGTGCCTGTTTTTTGCAGTCGTAACGCCTGCAATTCAATTGTTATTGAAATTGTTTAACGTTTATACATTTTTATCTACATTTCTTTGTTGTAATTGTGGCGCTTTATAGCCCTCTCTTCGCATTCAATTCCCTTTCTGTTTTTTGTTTTTTTTTTAGTTTCTTTTCCTCACCTTGCTTCCTGCCATGAAAATTTCAACTTAAATTGCGCAATTGATATCGTTGAACGTTTCACGTTATTGCAAGCTTTTTGGGGTAATGTCTGCAAGCGCGCACAAGCATACACACCATACACAACAGATCCACTCAGACGATAATCACACGTGATACATACAAATATACGAACATACACATACAACTGCCTAGGAAACTACGCCGGATATGTACTCTCAATTTATTTCAATTTCAACGCCAATTGCGTGAGGTTTGTATGAATCAGGCGAGTCATTACTTTAAAACACTAACTCTTGATAAACTAAAGCACTTAAGGCTTTAACGAGCTTTCGTGCATTCCAATTTAAGTCAACATAAAAGTGCCAAAAGCAACAAACTAAAGTGTAACTGGTTCTTATTTAAATGCATGAAAATGTTTTTTTTTTTGTTTTTTGTTGTGGTTAGTATGGAAAATAGCACTTACTTGCACCTCCGAATGTGAAATCGCCTATGATTTTTCAGTTTTATTTTAGATATCATATAATTTGAGTTGTTGTTGTTGTTGTTAGTCCATGATAGCGAGCGATGAATGAAGAAAACACAAACAAAATGGGAACAGAGAAACAAGAGAAAATTGATTTGAGTAGCTAGAATACGAAAAAAATGCCAAAGCTTTCAAAACTTTAAACGAAACTTTCCAGAAATCAAACGAAAAAAAGTTGCATAAAACACGAATTGAACCACAAACAAAAACGACAAAAATTAAAAAAAAAAACAAAAAAAAAAATATATATTAAATTGTTAGAAAAATCCTTTGAAAGACAGCATGTTATAAAAGTTATAAAATAGAGAAGAGAAGAAGAAGAAACAAATGCAATCATTAATACCATTTCAAAGCAAATCGGGTCAATAAATGAAGGAGCTTTTAAGCTCTTTCAAAAAATACATACAATGTACATATAATAAATTCTATGTGTATGAGTAATGTTTATATACAAATGATCGTTGACAGCTAATCGCTTCCGCAATACTTGTGCTGCAACACATTCAAACTTTCGAGGTACACCAAAAAGTTTTTGCAAAAATTTACGGATAAGTTTTTCGAATACAAAGCTAATTAAAATATGTGTTTTTCGTGGTAAATTATGAAAACCTGTTCGGAAACGAAGCATCTTTATTCGCCATTTCTGCTATTTTTAAAACAACTACCTTGAAGTTTTGGAAAACTTGCATAAATCAATTTTTGAATATAAAGCTATTAAAAGCGTAACTGTGTAAACTACTCTTTAAAATATGCAATTTTCGTAAATAAATATTGAAAATTTTTTGGAAAGGTCGTTTGAAAACGAACTATTGGTGGTACCTTCTGTCGTTGTTGCTCTATATTTTTTTGCTTTTGAAAAAGTGTTGGAAATTCTAATATGTACTTTCAAAGGCAACTATTTGAAGCTCTTTTGGAAAGCTCTTTGGTAACGTACCGTTGTGATCATTTTCTGTTATTTTTGCACTAACTGCAGCTTTTAAGTATATTCTTTCACTGCTTTCTTTTTCAGCAGTTTATTTCGATCTTATATTTTTGGTTATTCCGTTTTTTTTTTTTTAATTTAACAGGTGATATTTGGCACAAAACCTTCTTTAGAAACGAATCGCAAGCTTGAGCTTTCGCTCCCGTTTACTTATATTTTTTAAAGCTCTAAAACTCTTGCTTAAGCTCTTCTAACAATCTATGTATATTCGTACATTTTTTGACGGAAACCAACTTGCTGTACAAGCTTATTTTGGTAACAAATTTTCTCCTGCCTCTACACTGCTTTGAAGCTTTTGTAAGCATTCTTCTTAAGTAAAAGAAAATATTGTAACTAATTTAATCCCAGGCTTCACTGCATTGAAACACGTTTTAAAGATTTTCCGACATTTTCATCTAATTTGCCTGTAGTGAAAGTTTAAGTGCAAAAGTTTTTTTAGAAACGCATCAGTTGTCGCATATTTGCTCATTTTTGGTGCTGCTTGGAAGCTTTTGCGAATATATTTACATAGTTTTTATGCATAAGCTTAGTGTTGTACTCATAAGCTTTCGTGCTTTTAAAGCTCTTGTTAAAGATCCACAAAAATTTTTATATAATTTGATCCTAAATGAAATTGTAGCTGTATATTTGTGTCTAACCTTAAGGATTTTAAGAGCAAACACACATTTGTAAGTTGTGCTTTTCTACTGTCTAAACGGAATTAGTATATTCTTTTGGGCGTTAAATTATTTCCGGTTAATTTTGTTATGTTAAAAGCTCTGTTATGTCTAATAAATATCTTTTTTTATTCCAAACTTTCGATAGAACACATATCTTTCAAAAGCTTGCAAGAGGCTTAAAGCTCTGACAAAATTTTATGCGAGCTTTCCAGCTGCTTCATCAAATTTTGTCTTTTAATTGTTTCTCAGACAAGCTGAAGTGTAATAATGATGCTTACATACGCATGATATACCATGGAACTTCTTAATACGAGCCAGTGTTCTGAAGCATTTTCTTTTCACCAATGGTTTTTTGTATCTTACTTAAAATATGACTAGTAGATATTAATTTTTATAAAGTCAATAAAAATCCACTTACTTGTCTCACCAGTGGTACAAGTCTCTGGTTTCGATGGCGGTCCACGTCCAATCGTATTTACCGCTATCACATAGAATTCATATTCCGTGTATGGGCTTAAAGCGCGCACAACGTAGAACATTGTAATGATGCCGCTGATTTCGCTAAAAGCCTGTGAAAAATTGAAGTTGAAAACATAGGTTGGAATATTAGGCTTAAAATTTTAATGAGCGAGAAAAAAAGCTCACAAGAGAATGAAGGGAACGAATTTTATATTTTGTTTTGCTCAGGGTATTATAGTAAATTTATTATTTTTTATTACGGTTTTTACCAAAAGTAGAAACCAAAACACAAAAGCTAGGTTTGAAACTTTGCTTGTATATATGTGAAAGCTTTTCTATAAAAATCTTCTTAAAATAAGAATTATATATTCAGAACAGAGTAAAATTTTGTTTAGTTGAAAGCTTTCACTAGGAGCATGTGAAAGCTTAAAATGAAACTTTATTTTGAACTTTATATGTGAAAGCTTTTTTTAACAAGATTATATTTAGCTAAGAATTATATATGTATTCAGGTACAGGTTTAGTACAATTTCCAATTCGGGTGCAAACTTTCATTGAAAGCACTTGAAAGCTCTATTTTTAATTAAGCTTTAAAAAAAGTTAAGGTTAAGAAAGAATTAGTTTTTTTTTTAGCAAACTAAAACTAAAACCCCACCTGGTTTGCATTTTTCGGTTTGTACTGTATCACATAGTATTGCAAATCTTCGGGGCCTTTGTATGACCACTCCAAACGTACTGAAGTGGCGGTCACTTCAGAGATTTGCACGTCTGTAGGAGCAGCTGGAAGTGCTGTTTGAGAAAAAACGGGAAAAGAAAGTAACACAGAAATGTGAGTTAAAAAGAAAGAAATGTTAATACAAAAAGAAGCCAACACTTACATTGGACTTTCACCATCGCCGTCGCTTCGATTTGCCCCAAAGACGAGGCCGCTATGCAGGTGAAATTAGCGCTCTGTTGAATATTCGTCAACTGAAGTATATTACGGCCGATTGGTATATCATTTTCGGGAGTCAAATCTTGCGCACCTGTGGGACGCAATAAAATTTGGAAATATTTTGATTTGATAGACAAACTTAATAAAAATATGAATTATGACAAAAATTCAAAAAAAAAAACCTTATTAAGAATAAATATTTTATTTTGCGATATATTTCTTCTAGCACTCCTCACCTTTCATCCATTTTACATGCGGCATGGGCGAGCCCACTGCAATGCATGATAAATTCAAATTTGCACCCAGCATCACTTCGTTGATGGGCTCTGGTGGGCGTGAAAATGTAGGCGGTACACGTCGTACTTTCACATATAAATTCGTTGCTTTCGAATGCTCGGTGCCAACCGAATTCTCAGCGACACACTCGTATTTGCCTTGATCCTCTTCGCGACTATTTTCGATTTGTAGGCCACCTGCAAGGAGAAAAAGTGAAAAACAAATTAGAAGATTTATAAATTTTGAACTTTCCTATAATTTTTTTGCGAAAATATTATCCAGATGTACACACGCTTCCTATACACTGCGATTCAATCGATAAGTGGACACAAGTCCTTAGAATACAGTTTAAATGAACTCACGATAAAAGCTTTGCAAAGTTCCATGTAAAAAATATACCTCTGAGCGCCTGGGGTTTCGATGTGAAGAGGCTCGAAATGGGTGGGTGGTGCTTCCAAAAATGAGTGTGTGGCGTAGAGGTGGGGGCTTTCTAAAAATAAAATAACGCAGAGATTACGCTGTGGCTTCAGCTGACAAGCATGTCGTAGAAGAAAACTTAGGGCAAGTTACAACTCCAAGAGGATTAGGAGCGTAACAGGTACACTGAGGGATGATTTTGCAGGCTGGCTACGAGTTCACGTGAACTACCTAATAATTAGCTGAGATAACTTCTGTCCTTACTGCGATAGGGCGCCAAGAAACCACTGTACCTGATACGGTTGCTAGACGGAGGCAATCATATCTGAGAACGCTGTAAAGCCAGTGGTTACGAACATAAACTCTCTTCCCCCCTAAAGCCATTGGTTTTCATTTCGACTTTAGGGCTAGAAGAAGTCTTGTGATAAGTTCGAGGACAGTTTAGACCCAACGTCGCAGTGTAGTAACTATAAATGTGATACTGGCTCTCGTCAACTGCCATCGCTTAATAGACTTCTGTAAAATTTTCAGCAAGCAGAGTCATTTATTTTGTGTTTAACAGCCATTGAAAACAGACAACTTCGTGAATTTTAACTAAAATTAAAAGAGAATTTCGTGTGCTGAATAAGAAATACTAAGCGGAAAAAGTATATTACCGAAACCAAGCAAAGGCTTGATAAATGCTTAAAAATTGGTTAATTTGTCAGATCCCCCAAAAGAGGTTGTCACACCCAGGGCCGGCGAAACGCCCTGTGGCCGGGTGGGTAGCTCTGCTGGCGGAAAGAGTATAGAGGTAAAGAAAATAGGTTGCTGATATAATTGAGAAGGTTAACAGATTGCGTTAGAAAGAGTTATTGTTTCGCGTATAACACATGGCAACACTGATTTGGTTTCCTAAAATGTAAAAGCTGTTTTTGATGGACTTTTTTGGGCTGATTGCGAATCTGTAAGTATAAAGTTTCCATCAGCTTTAGATTTTGAAAAAAACTTGGCCAAAGTATACAAAATTTCAATATTTGAGAAGCTCTAGCAAACAAACAAAACCTTCCACTTGGGCTTAAATTAAAGCTAGAACTCTCGGCTACTATCCCTGAGAATACCATTCATCCACCTTGACTTTATGGGCACTTATAGTCATTTATTGGATCCAGATATGGTATTTTCAGAGATTTTTGTCAAAAGTTCAAGCCTTAATTTAAGCCTAAGTGGAAGATTCTACCACTTTTTGTTTAATTGCGGTAAGTACTCAAACTTCGCCAAAGTCAGTTTTTGCTATTCAACAAATGACTATAAGTGACCATCAAGTCAAGGTGTACGAATGGATTTGCCAGAGATAGTTGTCAAGAGTTCTTGCTTTAATTTAAGCCCAAGTGGAAGGTTCTATCACCTTTTGGTTTCTTGCTAGAGCTTCTCAAATATTGCAAAAAACCCAGATTTTTTGATACTTTCACCACGTTTTCTCCTAATAATCAAATTTCGAAAACAAATTTTTTCTGCAGTGAAAACACGGCCATTCGTTTTGAATTTCGAGAAATGAAGTCATTCATCAGTTCATGGCTAAAAATGCAGTATTGCTAGATGGTTGAGCCGCTCTTGATGCATTGCCGAGCGCAAATAATTTTTCACCTTACGCAAAACAGAAAAGGTCCTCTCGTTAGACCATGACGACCCTGGAATCTAATCTAATGAAGCGTACATACTCACGAGCAAGTCCCACACACAATTCGTTTTAACGCGAAAATGCCTGTACGCCTCATTATGCACAGCGATATATCTTTATCGATATTGAGTCTGCATTCGTCAAAATAATCACCATTATAAAACTTTACATTTTCTTCAAATCTACTGTCTCACCCAGAATGAACTTTTTTCAAGTTTTATATAACGTTGCCGATTCAATTTCAAATTTATTTGTCAGGGAACAAATAACTTCGTCAAAAATACTCTTTCAATCGGTCTAATTTTTCTTCTAAACAATTTTCAGGTGGGTAGTACTACCCACCATACCCGCGTCTTCCGCCGCCCCTGGTCACACCAGAAATCGAAGTCATTGCTACTGCTTAAACGTAACTACAAAAGAGAAAACAAAAATCAAAGGATTAACGCTATACGTGGCCAATTCGTAAGATCTCACGATCTCACGTCAGCTTAGTTGAAGACCAACTAAGAGAATCGAAATTTGAAGGATAAAAAATAATAATAATTAAAGAGAGCGTGAAAAGAAATGCCAAGGCTCCCGATTTCGATTAAAGCGACCCATCAACACGCGCACCTATCACCCTAGCGAGACGTCTTACACAGTCTTACTAAATGCGGTCAAAATATTCATTCGTCCGGAAAGTAGCTCTAACAAAGCCGGCGATGCTCTAGCGTTCCCGTCGGGCGATTGTGTTCGTCTTTTAATCTGCTGGTCCAATAGAAATTAGGCGCCGCTGCTGACCTCCCCCCACAAATGATAGACGGAGAACCAGTATATCGGATAGTAGCTATGTGTCTTTCGCGTACGTTTTCCTGTGTCCGTGGAGAAGTGGATGCCTATTAGACCGTTCGTTATTTTAACTATTTTTTTAAATATACAGTTTGCCGGGCTCAAAAAGATGTCTTTTGGTCTAAAAATAAGCTGTGCAAAATTTTATCCGAATATGATAACCCTAAGTACTTGCGCGTTGCATTTGAAAATTTAGAAAACCATATGCATTCTGAGAAAAATTTTTTTAACAAAATAGTTGAAAGTCGTGAATTTTATAGTCATTTGCCATGTAAAATAACCTACACAATCTGAATATGAAGTCAAAAATTAAAAAAGTAGAATAGGTTTTAAGAATTTGCGAAATTA